TAACGGGAAAATAAATGCAGTTTCCGTTTTGAGGTTCCCAAGAAGAAGGTTTTTATTTTATTTTCCAGTCAAAGTGCTGCAATAAAACAGGTTGACATGGCAAACTAGTCGATGCTTCTCTTTATATCATAATGTTTCAAAAGACCAGCAAACTTTGTCTTAAAACTGATGTGAGAGGAATTCTATTTATGTATTTCATCACCGTGTTGCCTTCCCTCTCTGTCAGATCTGCGTCAATCTTTCCTTGTGTTCTTGTGGTTTTCACCCCACCCCTCTTATGGTTTCTTCTAGATATTGGGATTTTGGATTCTGTACCAGTAAGCCTTTTGTCATTTCTGTTTGGGTTCTTTGTGAATAAATCACGATGGTGTCTGCACCTGCATCCTCCCACTTCGATGAACTGTGATGCCAATGTAGTTCTTGTCAGATAAAATAGGTCATCTAAAGTCAAAAGTGTCCCACATTGTGGATAACTGCTGTTGAAAGTGTAAAGAATGGCTCCGTCTTCAGCAAGTTGTGCAACATTATCCAGTCTGAACACCAGTGAAGACTGGGATTAATAAACATAACTGGAAAAAGTGTACAGCATATATTGTCATCAGTGGAGTCACACATAAAGACTGAAGAAGAGTGGGGCTGGAGAAGGATTCCGTTGGATAGTATGCATTGAGAAAATAATATGTAACCATAATTAAATTAAGCATTTCTTGGAATACTACTTTTAACCTACAACCACATAGGTTTGCACAGGCTCGGTGGGCACTTTTAAACATAGACAATTGCCTCAATCATGTTTATTTAACTGCATAAAGAACAAAGTTGTGATTGCAATCAAGATTTTTTTGTGCAGCCTTGAAATTTTGAACAAATAAAAAATATACAATATTTGTTATATAAATCTTTGATGATTTGGTATCATTAACAGTATAAAGATGAAATACCAAAGTGTAGTGTCGTGTTGAAACACCCTGATACAGATTCATTGATAAAACACTCATACTGTGAATGTTTTTTTTTTAGTTGGAGAAACTAAGTAAGAGGTTTAAGGGTTTTAAGAGGAAAAGATGAGAGCTAAATCTGTCCTGAAACGCAGAAATTCATCACACGTTGAGAAATCCGCTGTCATTTTTGTAGAAAAAAATGCAATCCTACTGCGATTGTACACCTCAAAACACAGATTGGTACTAAAGAATGATGTTTTTATAACTTAGTTTTGATAATTACTTTTTCTTTGTAATCAACATCAAATTGATCAAACTAGCTAAAACAGACATCTGAACACATAAACACATCATTTCAGTCATACATGAAGAAGTTATTAGCACTTCTTGTAGGCTCCAATCTTGATCCTCTACTTAGTATGTGAAGCACACACTCGTTTTAATGAGACATAAAGCCAGAGCAGTGATTGTGTAGCATTAATGTCCTGCTGATCAAAACACACCATGAAGTGTTTAAGAAGTTAATGCCTCAAATCTTCAGTCGGATGCTGTCACCATGGAAATAGTTCGAGTGCTGAGAGTAAACACTGGAATTGGTTACCACGGCAGCCGGCCATGACGCCTCAAGAGGCCCTTAAATTTCAAGCCCTTGTGCTTGACAGTGTTTTTATCTGAGATAAATAGATTGTAGGCGGCTTCAAATAAAGCCAATCAAAATAAAAAAAGCAATTGAGAATGTCTGGTAAATTCATTTGAATTGCTGTAAATTTAGGTATTGATAATTCAAACAATTATTGATACCTTGTTGGTTAATGATCAGTAAAAAGCATTGTTTTTTTTTTTTATCAGGGAGAATGAAAATGCCACTTTTATTCAACCTACTGTAAACAAAGACTTTGTGACCTCTTCTTAGGTGTGTGTCCTGAGACGCTGCCTCCAGCAGTGGGCCTGTGCTCTCCAAACCCGTGCCAGAACAGGGCGATCTGCAGACTGCGCGGGGACGGCTACTCGTGGTTCTGTGTGCCTGGCTTTCAGGGTGCACACTGTCAGATCGATGTGAACGAATGTGTTTCACAGCCCTGCAGAAACGGAGCTACCTGTGTGGACAAAGTGGGCAAATTTTCTTGTCGGTGTCCTCAGGGGTTCACTGGTGAGTACCGAGAACACATGCCAGGTCTTCAAATCATACACATGGTTGAAAAACATCCCATCAGGTCATTGTGCGTTGATGCTCATAGCCTATAAATGTCAGTCATTACTGTTTTAGCCCTTTAACCGTACATTTGAAAGATACGCGCGCATTGACTTTTTCGTAGATCTTATTGAGATACACGTGATTGTCAAATTTTGTGTCAATATGACAAAGCATACAGGTGTCACACTCAACAATGTGAATTTTCACCTTAGGGGACAAGAAAAAATGGACTTTTTTCTCCTGCCATGGGGGGGCGCTCTTTTGGGGAGTAAAAATTCCTTCACAAATGTGTTGATGGCTGGACATTGCATCATCCTAGAAAACTTGGAGGCCAGTGAGGACAAAAATAAAAAGTTATAAGACTTTGAAATATGTGGATTTTAGGGTTATCTTTGGCGCCCCCTAGAACCTAAACCGTGGGGTGCAGCGGCATGATTTGAATAACTTTTAATGGCCATGGGGTGTAGATTGGCCTGAGCAAATGTGGTGCCGGTGGAACGAAAGCCTTAGGAGGAGTTAGCGAAATTCCAATGTGTGCGGATCGGCAAAAAATGCAGAATAACCCTTTAACCGTACATTTGACAGATACGAGCGCATTGACTTTTTCGTAGATCTTATTGAGATACGTGTGTGTCAAATTTTGTGTCATTTTGACAAAGCGTACAGGCGTGACACTCTACAATGTGTATTTTCACCTTAGGGGACAAGAAAAAATTGACTTTTTTCTCCTGCCATGGGGGGGGCGCTCTTTTGGGGAGTAAAAATTCCTTCACAAATGTGTTGATGGCTGGACATTGCATCATCCTAGAAAACTTGGAGGCCAGTGAGGGCAAAAATAAAAAGTTATAAGACTTTTAAATATGTGGATTTTAGGGTTATCTTTGGCGCCCCCTAGAACCTAAACCGTGGGGTGCAGCGTCATGATTTGAATAACTTTTAATGGCCATGGGGTGTAGATTGGCCTGAGCAAATGTGGTGCCGGTGGAACGAAAGCCTTCGGAGGAGTTAGCGAAATTCCAATGTGTGCGGATCGGCAAAAAATGCGAAATAGCCCTTTAACGGTACATTTGACAGATACGAGCGCACTGACTTTTTTGTAGGTCTTATTGAGATACACATGTGTGTCAAATTTTGTGTCATTTTGACAAAGCGTACAGGCGTCAGGTGAATTTTCACCTTAGGGGGCGCTATGGAGCCATTTTTCATTTTTTTGTTTGGGCGACTTCAGAATATCGAATTTTTCACCAGGCCCGGTCTTCCTGCCAAATTTCCTGAGTTTTCACCAGTGGGAAGTGGGCCATTTTCCAGTTTAAAGCGGAGGAAAAATAACTAGGACCCCGTTGGGGCACTGGCGGGCCCGAGCCGTGTCGCGTCCCCCCCCCAACGTGCTGCCTCCCCGTCCCATTTGTGTCCTCTGGCCATCGCCCTCTCTGGTAACGCCCATCACTGCAAAGACCCTTTTCCTTTATCGGCGTTTGCTGTTCTTCCTGCCAGTGCGTGTTGCTTTCACTTACACTTGCCACAGCCAGCCTCGTGAGTGCCTAGCCTATTGGATATCACTGTCACCTACACAGGACAGTCATTACCTTTCTATTAATACTTTGTGTTTTAATTTCACATTAATTTCCATATTGTATAAACGACTGGAAAAAACTTGAGCCCCTGCCCCTGTATAATCATGTGCACGTCCCTGTTCTCGCTCCAAGGTGAATCTTCACTGCTCATGTTCTCCTCAGAAGCAGTCACCTCACCCCCCTCAGGTTACTGTACACATGCACCAACTGCCTGCTTCAGGTTTGGATGGAGCTTCATGGTTGTCTTTTGGAGAAATGACCAGTCAAGTTGTGTTTGAAATTTCATTTTTTTCAGGGGAAAAAGGAAGCCTCTGCATTGTTGTCAAATATGTAAATAGCATGTTTTTGCAGGTGCTAAAAAACAGACTCTGAGTGTGTGTGTGTGTGTGTGTGTGTGTGTGTGTGTGTGCGTGTGCGTGTGTGTGTGTGTCTGTGTGTGTGTGCGTGTGTGTGTGTGTGTGTGTCTGTGTGTGTGTATCCTGCAGTACTCTGTACTCCTGCAGTGGCCAAAACGACTTTTAAGAATGTGGATATTTGGGTCATCTTTGGGTCAAAATTGACTTTTTTGTCCTGCCATGGGGGGGTGCTCTTTTGGGGAGTAAAAATTCCTTCACAAATGTGTTGATGGCTAGACATTGCATCATCCTAGAAAACTTTGAAGCCAGTGAGGACAAAAAAAAAAGTTATAAAACTTTTAAGAATGTGGATTTTTGGGTTATTTTTGGCGACCCCTAGAACGTAAACCGTGGGGTGCAGCATCATGATTTGTACAACTTTTAATGGCCATGGGGTGTAGATTGGCCTGAGCAAATTTGGTGCCGGTGGAACGAAAGCTTTAGGAGGAGTTAGCCACATTCCAATGTGTGCGAATCAACCAAAAATGCGAAATAGCCCTTTAACCGTACATTTTGCAGACACGTGCGCATTGACTTTTTCGTAGATCTTATTGAGATACACGTGATTATCAAATTTTGTTTCAATATGACAAAGCGTACAGGCGTGACACTCAACAATGTGTATTTTCACCTTATAGGACAAGAAAAAATGGCCTTTTTTCTCCTGCCATGGGGGGGGCGCTCTTTTGGGGAGTAAAAATTCCTTCACAAATGTGTTGATGGCTGGACATTGCATCATCCTAGAAAACTTGGAGGCCAGTGAGGACAGAAATAAAAAGTTATAAGACTTGTAAGAATGTGGATTTTTGGGTTATCTTTGGCGCCCCCTACAACGTAAACCGTGGGGTGCAGCGTCATGATTTGTACAACTTTGAATGGCCATGGGGTGTAGATTGGCCTGAGCAAATTTGGTGCCGGTGGAACGAAAGCCTTCGGAGGAGTTAGCGAAATTCCAATGTGTGCGGATCGGCAAAAAATGCGAAATAGCCCTTTAAACGTACATTTGACAGATACGCCCGCACTGACTTTTTTGTAGATCTTATTGAGATACACGTGTGTGTCAAATTTTGTGTCATTTTGACAAAGCGTACAGGCGTGACACTCAATCATGTGAATTTTTCACCTTAGGGGGCGCTATGGAGCCATTTTGCATGTGATTGTTTGGGTGACTTCAGAATATCGAATTTTTCACCAGGCCAGGTCGTCCTGCCAAATTTCATGAGTTTTCACCAGTGGGAAGTGGGCCATTTTCCAGTTCAAAGGGGCAGAAAAATAATAACTAGGGCCCCGGTGGGGCACTGTCGGGCCCGAGCCGCGTCGCGCCGCCCCCAGCGCGACCGCCTCCCCCTCCCGATTGCATCACACTCAAGGTCCAAAGATGGTGTGCGCACTTGTCTGTGGTCATTTCCCATTATAATGAATGGGAGGCGCAGTTTCTACCAAAACGGCCGCTGCAGACAAACTACATGTCCTATTTGAAAAAAGTCTGGACCATGAGTGAGGGCACAAACACAGCTAGGATATATCCAAATGGCAAGTTGCTCCTCCTTACGGTGTTGCCGGGAGAGCGATGCGATTGAGCCATTGAGCGATGGGCAGGGTTAACTGGACTTTTTCTCCTGCCTTGGGGGGGGGGGGGGGGGGATGTGGATTCTTTTAAGAATGTGGATATTTGGGTCATCTTTGGCGCCCCCAAGAACGTAAACCATGGGGTGCAGCGGCATGATTTTTACAACTTTGAATGGCCATGGGATGTAGATCGGCTTGAGCAAATTTGGTGTCGGTGGGAAGAAAGCCTTAGGAGGAGTTAGCCACATTCCAATGTGTGCGAATCGGCAAAAAATGCGAAATAGCCCTTTAACCGTACATTTTACAGATACGTGCCCATTGACTTTTTCGTAGATCTTATTGAGATACACGTGTGTGTCAAATTTTGTGTCATTTTGACAAAGCGTATAGGCGTGACAGTCAACAATGTGTTTTTTCACCTTAGGGGACAAGAAAAAATTGACTTTTTTCTCCTGCCATGGGGGGGCGCCCTTTTCGGGAGTAAAAATTCCTTTACAAATGTGTTGATGGCTGGACATTGCATCATCCTAGAAAACTTGGAGGCCAGTGAGGACAAAAATAAAAAGTTATAAGACTATTAAGAATGTGGATTTTTGGGTTATCTTTGGCGCCCCCTAGAACGTAAACCGTGGAGTGCAGCGTCATGATTTGTACAACTTTTAATGGCCATGGGGTGTAGATTGGCCTGAGCAAATTTGGTGGCGGTGGAACTAAAGCCTTCGGAGGAGTTAGCGAAATTCCAATGTGTGCGGATCGGGAAAAAATGCGAAATAACCCTCTAACCGTACATTTCACAGATGCGCCCGCACTGACTTTTTCGTAGACCGTATTGAGATACACGTGTGTGTCAATTTTTGTGTCAAAATGACAAAGCGTACAGGCGTGACAGTCAATAGTGTGAATTTTCGCCTTAGGGGGCGCTATGGAGCCATTTTGCATTTTATTGTTTGGGCGACTTCAGAATATCGAATTTTTCACCAGGCCCGGTCGTCCTGCCAAATTTCCTGAGTTTTCGCCAGTGGGAAGTGGGCCATTTTCCCCTTCAAAGGGGAGGAAAAATAAGAAGAAAGAAAGAAAGAAAGAAAGAAAGAAGAAAGAAAACCTATACAGGAATAATAGGGCTCTACGCCCGGCTGCTCTGCAGCTGGCTCGGGCCCTAATAAGAAGAAGAAGAAGAAGACTAGGGCCCCGTTGGGGCACTGGCGGGCCCGAGCTGTGTCGCGCCCCCCCCCCCCCCACCAATGCGCTTCCTCCCCGTCCCATTCGCGTCCTCTGGCCATCGTCCTCTCTGGTAACGCCCATCACTGCAAAGACCCTTTTCCTTCATCGGCGTTTGCTGCTCTTCCTGCCAGTGCGTGTTGCTTTCACTTACACTTGCCACAGCCAGCCTCGTGAGTGCCTAGCCTATTGGATATCACTGTCACCTACACAGGACAGTCATTACCTTTCTATTAATACTTTGTTTTTTAATTTCACATTAATTTCCATATTGTATAAACGACTGGAAAAAACTTGAGCCCCTGCCCCTGTATAATCATGTGCACGTCCCTGTTCTCGCTCCAAGGTGAATCTTCACTGCTCATGTTCTCCTCAGAAGCACTCACCTCACTCCCCTCAGGTAACTGTACACATGCACCAACTGCCTGCTTCAGGTTTGGATGGAGCTTCATGGTTGTCTTTTGGAGAAATGACCAGTCAAGTTGTGTTTGAAATTTGATTTTTTTCAGGGGCAAAAGGAGCCTCTGCATTGTTGTCAAATATGTAAATAGCATGTTTTTGCAGGTGCTAAAAAACAGACTCTGAGTGTGTGTGTGTGTGTGTGTGTGTGTGTGTGTGTGTGTGTGTGTGTGTGTGTGTGTGCGTGTGTGTGTGTGTGTGTGTTTGTGTGTGTCTGTGTGTGTGTATCCTGCAGTACTCTGTACTCCTGCAGTGGCCAAAACGACTTTTAAGAATGTGGATATTTGGGTCATCTTTGGCGCCCCCTAGAACGTAAACCATGGGGTGCAGCGGCATGATTTTTACAACTTTGAATGGCCATGGGATGTAGATCGGCTTGAGCAAATTTGGTGTCGGTGGGAAGAAAGCCTTAGGAGGAGTTAGCCACATTCCAATGTGTGCGAATCTGCAAAAAATGCGAAATAGCCCTTTAACCATACATTTTACAGATACGTGCCCATTGACTTTTTCGTAGATCTTATTGAGATACACGTGATTGTCAAATTTTGGGTCAATATGACAAAGCGTATAGGCGTGACACTCAACAATGTGTATTTTCACCTTAGGGGACAAGAAAAAATGGACTTTTTTCTCCTGCCATGTGGGGGCGCTCTTTTGGGGAGTAAAAATTCCTTCACAAATGTGTTGATGGCTGGACATTGCATCATCCTAGAAAACTTGGAGGCCAGTGAGGACAAAAATAAAAAGTTATAAGACTTTTAAATATGTGGATTTTTGGGTTATCTTTGGCGCCCCCTAGAACGTAAACTGTGGGGTGCAGCGTAATGATTTGTACAACTTTTAATGGCCATGGGGTGTAGATTGGCCTGAGCAAATGTGGTGCCGGTGGAACGAATGCCTTCGGAGGAGTTAGCGAAATTCCAATGTGTGCAGATCGGCAAAAAATGCGAAATAACCCTCTAACTGTACATTTCACAGATGCGCCCGCGCTGACTTTTTCGTAGAACGTATTGAGATACACGTGTGTGTCAATTTTTGTGTCAATATGACAAAGCGTACAGGCGTGACAGTCAATAGTGTGAATTTTCGCCTTAGGGGGCGCTATGGAGCCATTTTGCATTTTATTGTTTGGGCGACTTCAGAATATCGAATTTTTCACCAGGCCCGGTCGTCCTGCCAAATTTCATGAGTTTTCGCCAGTGGGAAGTCGGCCATTTTCCAGTTTAAAGCGGAGGAAAAATAATAATAATAACAAAAGAAGAATCCATCAGGAACAAGAGGGCTCTCGCAGCTGCTTAGCAGCTACGCTCGGGCCCTAACTAGGGCCCCGGTGGGGCACTGTCGGGCCCGAGCCGCGTTGCGCCGCCCCCAGCGCAACCGCTTCCCCCTCCCGAATCATTTCATGAGCAAGTGGCGACATCATGGAGGTAAAGCTCACTTATTCCATCATGAAACTGCACAGCTGCAGTACTACAGCCAGGCCCGCAGATGAGGGGCTTCAGTTACCACTGTCTGCACGGGCGCAGTACCTACTCTCTGCCTGCGGGGGTCGTCTTTCCCCACCGCTCGTGTAGTGTGTCCGAATAGGGCCAACGTTTTTAGTATGTAGGAGTAGGATCTAGCAGTAGCACGTAGCAGTAGCATGTAGTATCCGAGCGGGCAGTTCGGACGCAGCATCCGTTTCAACTAATCTAAAAAGTGAGGACCTCAAACTATATACCAGTTTTTAAATTGTGTTGATAGGCCAAATAAAACCAGAGTTATGATAAATTATGTCCGCGATACTTTTTTTCTGCTTATTTTGATCACGTTCGGCGCTCGATCGCGCTGTATGAGACAGGAAAACATAGCATGCAGACATTAGCGACAGCTCTTACAGGCGGAAAAGGCTTGCCAAAAGAAAAAAAAAAACACACCACAACATCTCTCCTATTGGTGGAAAACTTCACCACAACAACCAATCCAAAATTATATGGTGACTGATTGACAAGGGGCGGGCGCTTACGTTCTTCCTGCAATATGAGAAGGGAGGGAGGGACTCTCAGCAGGGATGCAGTCTGGGACACGTAGTTGCAAACCTAGCGACTTTGTTGTAGATTCAATGACTTTTCAGACCCCCTAACGACTTTTTTTTTAGAAAGAAAGGGACTTTTATCGACTTCTTCTGGAGTTTAGAAACTCTGACATGAAGCAGGCTTTCCTTACTGAGGAGTTAGCAACGCTGCTAAGGGTGCAGAGACACACATGAGCTCCGAGCTCTGCATGGGAGACTGAAGCTGACAGAGCTGCAGCAGTTAGCAGGTTTCACCCTCAGAGACCACCAGGGGTTCATGTTGAGGCATTTTCATTTTTTTTTTTTTTTTTTTGCCATAGACACTGTCAGCACAATCTGCAGTTACACTAACAAAAAAGCTGCAAAAAACAAAGAATTATGGAAAAATTACACATGGACTGACATAGAGGAGGATTTACACAAGTTTTTTACATCATGTTTTACATCATGCATCATTTACATCATGTTTTTTTGTAGTGGCATAAATAAAAAGTGACATTTGTGAGACTATACAGTGTTTTGTAAATAATTTTACAAAGAACGCCTGGGCCATTGCCTGCATTTTGATGTAAATAGAGGTAAATTACTATGTTCTTTGTTAAAAATTTGCATATGTTTTGAAGTTTACAATTTTTATTTGAAGTTTAAGTTTTAAAAACAGTTCATCACACATATTTGTGGTTTTCACAGTAAAAATGTTACTTTTTTCCACTCGGATTTTATGTTTTGTGTGTGAATTTGGGTCCATTGTGTAAATACAGTATGTCAAAATGATAAAATAACTGTAAATTCACACAGGTGAGGTTGTGCTGAAAAAAATGATACCAGGCAAGGCAAGGTAAAAAAATTTTAAGAGGAAATATAAAGGTAAAATCTAAAGTAGTCAAAAAAGGCCAATAGTGACTCACAGACTCCACAGACTAGTCCCTTTGGCGCCACTCAGTGGGCAAAACTACTTTGTCTGCTGTAATGTATATTTGGGTCATCTTTGGCGCCCCCTAAAACGTAAACCGTGGGGTGCAGCGTCATGATTTTTACAACTTTGAATGGCCATGGAGTGTAGATTGGCCTGAGCAAATTTGGTGTCAGTGGGACGAAAGCCTTAGGAGGAGTTAGCGAAATTCCAATGTGTGCGAATCGGCAAAAAATGCAAAATAGCCCTTTAACCGTACATTTTACACTTACGTGCCCATTGACTTTTTCATAGATCTTATTGAGATACATGTGATTGTCAAATTTTTTGTCAATATGACAAAGCGTAAAGGCGTGACAGTCAACAACGTGTATTTTCACCTTTCGGGATAAGAAAAAATTGACTTTTTTCTCCTGCCATGGGGGGGCGCTCTTTTGGAGAGTTAAAATTCCTTCACAAATGTGTTGATGGCTGGACATTGCATCATCCTAGAAAACTTGGAGGCCAGTGAGGACAAAAATAAAAAGTTATAAGACTTTTAAGAATGTGGATTTTTGGGTTATCTTTGGCGCCCCCTAGAACCTAAACCGTGGGGTGCAGCGTCATGATTTGTACAACTTTTAATGGTCATGGGGTGTAGATTGGCCTGAGCAAATTTGGTGCCGGTGGAACGAAAGCCTTCGGAGGAGTTAGCGAAATTCCTATGTGTGCGGATCGGCAAAAAAAGCGAAATAGCCCTTTAACCGTACATTTGACAGATACGCCCACACTGACTTTTTTGTAGATCTTATTGAGATACACATGTGTGTCAAATTTTGTGTCATTTTGACAAAGCGTACAGGTGTCAGGTGAGTTTTCACCATAGGGGGCGCTATGGAGCCATTTTTCATTTTTTTGTTTGAGCGACTTCAGAATATCAAATTTTTCACCAGGCCCGGTCGTCCTGCCAAATTTCCTGAGTTTTCGTCAGTGGGAAGTGGGCCATTTTCCAGTTTAAAGCGGAGGAAAAATAACGAAAGACTAGGGCCCCGGTGGGGCACTGTCGGGCCCGAGCCGCGTCGCGCCGCCCCCAGCGCGACCGCCTCCCCCTCCCGATCGCATCACACTCAAGGTCCAAAGATGGTGTGCGCACTTGTCTGTGGTCATTTCCCATTATAATGAATGGGAGGTGCAGTTTCTACCAAAACGGTCGCTGCAGACAAACTACATGTCCTATTTGAAAAAAGTCTGGACCATGAGTGAGGGCACAAACACAGCTAGGATATATCCAAATGGCAAGTTGCTCCTCCTTACGGTGTTGCCAGGAGAGCGATGCGATTGAGCCATTGAGCGATGGGCAGGGTTAACTGGACTTTTTCTCCTGCCTTGGGGGGGGGATGTGGATTCTTTTAAGAATGTGGATATTTGGGTCATCTTTGGCGCCCCCTAGAACGTAAACCATGGGGTGCAGCGGCATGATTTTTACAACTTTGAATGGCCATGGGATGTAGATCGGCTTGAACAAATTTGGTGTCGGTGGGAAGAAAGCCTTAGGAGGAGTTAGCCACATTCCAATGTGTGCGAATCGGCAAAAAATGCGAAATAGCCCTTTAACCGTACATTTTACAGATACGTGCCCATTGACTTTTTCGTAGATCTTATTGAGATACACGTGTGTGTCAAATTTTGTGTCATTTTGACAAAGCGTATAGGCGTGACAGTCAACAATGTGTTTTTTCACCTTAGGGGACAAGAAAAAATGGACTTTTTTCTCCTGCCATGGGGGGGGCGCTCTTTACGGGAGTAAAAATTCCTTTACAAATGTGTTGATGGCTGGACATTGCATCATCCTAGAAAACTTGGAGGCCAGTGAGGACAAAAATAAAAAGTTATAAGACTATTAAGAATGTGGATTTTTGGGTTATCTTTGGCGCCCCCTAGAACCTAAACCGTGGAGTGCAGCGTCATGATTTGTACAACTTTTAATGGCCATGGGGTGTAGATTGGCCTGAGCAAATTTGGTGGCGGTGGAACTAAAGCCTTCGGAGGAGTTAGCGAAATTCCAATGTGTGCGGATCGGGAAAAAATGCGAAATAACCCTTTAACCGTACATTTTACAGATACGTGCCCATTGACTTTTTCATAGATCTTATTGAGATACACGTGATTGTCAAATTTTGGGTCAATATAACAAAGCGTATAGGCGTGACACTCAACAATGTGTATTTTCACCTTAGGGGACAAGAAAAATTGGACTTTTTTCTCCTGCCATGTGGGGGCGCTCTTTTGGTGAGTAAAAATTCCTTCACAAATGTGTTGATGGCTGGACATTGCATCATCCTAGAGAACTTGGAGGCCAGTGAGGACAAAAATAAAAAGTTCTAAGACTTTTAAGACTGTGGATTTTTGGGTTATCTTTGGCGCCCCCTAGAACGTAAACCGTGGGGTGCAGCGTCATGATTTGTACAACTTTTAATGGCCATGGGGTGTAGATTGGCCTGAGCAAATGTGGTGCTGGTGGAACGAATGCCTTCGGAGGAGTTAGCGAAATTCCAATGTGTGCAGATCGGCAAAAAATGCGAAATAACCCTCTAACCGTACATTTCACAGATGCGCCCACGCTGACTTTTTCGTAGACCGTATTGAGATACACGTGTGTGTCAATTTTTGTGTCAATATGACAAAGCGTACAGGCGTGACAGTCAATAGTGTGAATTTTCGCCTTAGGGGGCGCTATGGAGCCATTTTGCATTTTATTGTTTGGGCGACTTCAGAATATCGAAATTTTCACCAGGCCCGGTCGTCCTGCCAAATTTCATGAGTTTTCGCCAGTGGGAAGTGGGCCATTTTCCCCTTCAAAGGGGAGGAAAAATAAGAAGAAAGAAAGAAAGAAAGAAAGAAGAAAGAAAAACCTATACAGGAATAATAGGGCTCTACGCCCGGCTGCTCTGCAGCTGGCTCGGGCCCTAAAGAATCCATCAGGAACAAGAGGGCTCTCGCAGCTGCTTAGCAGCTACGCTCGGGCCCTAATAACAAAAGAAGGAAACTACAGGAACAAGAGGGCTCTCGCAGCTGCTTAGCAGCTACGCTCGGGCCCTAAGAAAGAACTAGGACCCCGTTGGGGCACTGGCGGGCCCGAGCTGTGTCGCGTCCCCCCCCCCAACGCGCTGCCTCCCCGTCCCATTTGTGTCCTCTGGCTATCGCCCTCTTTGGTAACGCCCATCACTGCAAAGACCCTTTTCCTTCATCGGCGTTTGCTGTTCTTCCTGCCAGTGCGTGTTGCTTTCACTTACACTTGCCACAGCCAGCCTCGTGAGTGCCTAGCCTATTGGATATCACTGTCACCTACACAGGACAGTCATTACCTTTCTATTAATACTTTGTTTTTTAATTTCACATTAATTTCCAAATTGTATAAACGACTGGAAAAAACTTGAGCCCCTGCCCCTGTATAATCATGTGCACGTCTCTGTTCTAGCTCTAAGGTAAATCTTCACTGCTCATGTTCTCCTCAGAAGCAGTCACCTCACTCCCCTCAGGTTACTGTACACATGCACCAACTGCCTGCTTCAGGTTTGGATGGAGCTTCATGGTTGTCTTTTGGAGAAATGACCAGTCAAGTTGTGTTTGAAATTTGATTTTTTTCAGGGGCAAAAGGAGCCTCTGCATTCTTGTCAAATATGTAAATAGCATGTTTTTGCAGGTGCTACAAACCAGACTCTGAGTGTGTGTGTGTGCGTGTGTGTGTGTGTCTGTGTGTGTGTGTGTGCGTTCAAGTCACATGACATATTTAACCGGATGTAGCTGCAAGACGGAGCCTCGTTGACTCTCCGTTTCAATTTATCTCAAAAGTGAGGACCTCAACCTATATACCAGTTTTTAAATTGTGTTGATAGGCCAAATAAAACCAGAGTTATGATAAATTATGTCCGCGATACTTGTTTTCTGCTTATTTTGATCACGTTCGGCGCTCGATCGCGCTGTATGAGACAGGAAAACATAGCATGCAGACATTAGCGACAGGTCTTACAGGCGGAAAAGGCTTGCCAAAGGAAAAAAAATACACACCACAACATCTCTCCTATTGGTGGAAAACTTCACCACAACAACCAATCCAAAATTATATGGTGACTGATTGACAAGGGGCGGGAACTTACGTTCTTCCTGCAATATGAGAAGGGAGGGAGGGACTCTCAGCAGGGATGCAGTCTGGGACACGTAGTTGCAAACCTAGCGACTTTGTTGTTAGATTCAATGACTTTTCAGACCCCCTAACGACTTTTTTTTAGAAAGAAAGTGACTTTTATCGACTTCTTCTGGAGTTTAGAGACTCTGACATGAAGCAGGCTTTCCTTACTGAGGAGTTAGCAACGCTGCTAAGGGTGCAGAGCCACACATGCGCTCAGAGCTCTGCATGGGAGACTGAAGCTGACAGAGCTGCAGCAGTTAGCAGGTTTCACCCTCAGAGACCACCAGGGGTTCATGTTGAGGCATTTTCAGTTTTTTTTTTTTTTTTGCCATAGACACTGTCAGCACAATCTGCAGTTACACTAACAAAAATGCTGCAAAAAACAAAGAATTATGGAAAAATTACACATGGACTAACATAGAGGAGGATCTACACAAGTTTTTTACATCATGTTTTACATCATGCATCATTTACATCATGTTTTTTTGTAGTGGCATAAATAAAAAGTGACATTTGTGAGACTATACAGTGTTTTGTAAATAATTTTACAAAGAACACCTGGGCCATTGCCTGCATTTTGATGTCAATAGAGGTAAATTACTATGTTCTTTGTTAAAATTTGCATATGTTTTGAAGTTTACAATTTTTATTTGAAGTTTAAGTTTTAAAAACAGTTCATCACACATATTTGTGGTTTTCACAGTAAAAACGTTACTTTTTTCCACTCGGATTTTATGTTTTGTGTGTGAATTTGGGTCCAATGTGTAAATATAGTATGTCAAAATGATAAAATAACTGTAAATTGACACAGGTGAGGTTGTGCTGAAAAAAATGATACCAGGCAAGGCAAGGTAAAAATTTTGTAAGAGGAAATATAAAGGTAAAATCTAAAGTAGTCAAAAACGGCCAATAGTGACTCACAGACTCCACAGACAAGTCCCTTTGGCGCCACTCAGTGGGCAAAACTACTTTGTCTACTGTAATGTATATTTGGGTCATCTTTGGCGCCCCCTAAAACGTAAACCGTGGGGTGCAGCGTCATGATTTTTACAACTTTGAATGGCCATGGAGTGTAGATTGGCCTGAGCAAATTTGGTGTCAGTGGGACGAAAGCCTTAGGAGGAGTTAGCGAAATTCCAATGTGTGCGAATCGGCAAAAAATGCAAAATAGCCCTTTTACCGTACATTATACAGATACGCGCTCTTTGACTTTTTCGTAGATCTAATTGAGATACACATGATTGTCAATTTTTGTGTCATTTTGCCAAAGCGTACAGGCGTGACAGTCAACAATGTGTATTTTCACCTTAGGGGACAAGAAAAAATGGACTTTTTTCTCCTGCCATGGGGGGGCGCTCTTTTAGGGAGTAAAAATTCCTTCACAAATGTGTTGATGGCTGGACATTGCATCATCCTAGAAAACTTGGAGGCCAGTGAGGACAAAAATAAAAAGTTATAAGACTTTTAAAAATGTGGATTTTTGGGTTATCTTTGGCGCCCCCTAGAACGTAAACCGTGGGGTGCAGCGTCATGATTTTAATAACTTTTAATGGCCATGGGGTGTAGATTGGCCTGAGCAAATGTGGTGCCGGTGGAACGAAAGCCTTCGGAGGAGTTAGCGAAATTCCAATGTGTGCAGATCGGCAAAAAATGCGAAATAACCCTTTAACCGTACATTAGACAGATACGCGCACATGGACTTTTTTGTAGATCTTATTGAGATACATGTGTGTGTCAATTTTTGTGTCATTTTGACAAAGCGTACAGGCGTGACAGTCAATAGTGTGAATTTTCACCTTAGGGGACAAGAAAAAATGGACTTTTTTCTCCTGCCATGGGGGGGCGCTCTTTTGGGGAGTAAAAATTCCTTCACAAATGTGTTGATGGCTGGACATTGCATCATCCTAGAAAACTTGGAGGCCAGTGAGGGCAAAAATAAAAAGTTATAAGACTTTTAAATATGTGGATTTTAGGGTTATCTTTGGCGCCCCCTAGAACCTAAACCGTGGGGTGCAGCGTCATGATTTGAATAACTTTTAATGGCCATGGGGTGTAGATTGGCCTGAGCAAATGTGGTGCCGGTGGAACGAAAGCCTTCGGAGGAGTTAGCGAAATTCCAATGTGTGCGGATCGGCAAAAAATGCGAAATAACCCTTTAACCGTACATTTGACAGATACGCCCGCACTGACTTTTTCGTAGATCTTATTGAGATACATGTGTGTGTCAATTTTTGTGTCATTTTGACAAAGCGTACAGGCGTGCCAGTCAATAGTGTGAATTTTCACCTTAGGGGGCGCTATGGAGCCATTTTGCATTTTCTTGTTTGGGCGACTTCGGAATATCAAATTTTTCACCAGGCCCGGTTGTCCTGCCAAATTTCATGAGTTTTCGCCAGTGGGAAGTGGGCCATTTTCCAGTTCAAAGGGGAGGAAAAAGAAACTAGGGCCCCGGTGGGGCACTGTCGGGCCCGAGCCGCGTTGCGCCGCCCCCAGCGCGACCGCCTCCCCCTCCCGATCGCGTCACACTCAAGGTCCAAAGTTGGTGTGCTCACTTGTCTGTGGTCATTTCCCATTATAATGAATGGGAGGCGCAGTTTCTACCAAAACACTCGCTGCAGACAAACTACATGTCCTATTTGAAAAAAGTCTGGACCATGAGTGAGGGCACAAACACAGCTAGGATATATCCAAACGGCAAGTTGCTCCTTGTTACGGTGTTGCCGGGAGAGTGATGCGATTGAGCCATTGAGTGATGGGCAGGAAAAACTTGACTGTTTCTCCTGCCATGGGGGTTGGGGGATGGGGGGGGGGGGGGATGTGGATTCTTTTAAGAATGTGGATATTTGGGTCATCTTTGGCGCCCCCTAGAACGTAAAGCGTGGGGTGCAGCGTCATGATTTTTACAACTTTGAATGACCATGGGGTGTAGATTGGCCTGAGCAAATTTGGTGTCAGTGGGACGAAAGCCTTAGGAGGAGTTAGCCACATTCCAATGTGTGCGAATCGGCAAAAAATGCAAAATAGCCCTTTAACCGTACATTTGACAGATACGCGCGCATTGACTTTTTTGTAGATCTTATTGAGATACATGTGATTGTCAAATTTTGTGTCAATATGATAAAGCGTACAGGCGTGACAGTCAATAGTGTGAATTTCCACCTTAGGGGACAAGAAAAAATTGACTTTTTTCTCCTGCCATGGGGGGGCGCTCTTTTGGGGAGTAAAAATTCCTTCACAAATGTGTTGATGGCTGGACATTGCATCATCCTAGAAAACTTGGAGGCCAGTGAGGACAAAAATAAAAAGTTATAAGACTTTTAAATATGTGGATTTTAGGGTTATCTTTGGCGCCCCCTAGAACCTAAACCGTGGGGTGCAGCGTCATGATTTGAATAACTTTTAATGGCCATGGGGTGTAGATTGGCCTGAGCAAATGTGGTGCCGGTGGAACGAAAGCCTTCGGAGGAGTTAGCGAAATTCCAATGTGTGCGGATCGGCAAAAAATGCGGAATAACCCTTTAACCGTACATTTGACAGATACGCGCGCATTGACTTTTTCGTAGATCTTATTGAGATACATGTGTGTGTCAATTTTTGTGTCATTTTGCCAAAGCGTACAGGTGTTACACTCAACAATGTGTATTTTCACCTTAGGGGACAAGAAAAAATGGACTTTTTTCTCCTGCCATGGGGGGGCGCTCTTTTGGGGAGTAAAAATTCCTTCACAAATGTGTTGATGGCTGGACATTGCATCATCCTAGAAAACTTGGAGGCCAGTGAGGGCAAAAATAAAAAGTTATAAGACTTTTAAATATGTGGATCTTAGGGTTATCTTTGGCGCCCCCTAGAACCTAAACCGTGGGGTGCAGCGTCATGATTTGAATAACTTTTAATGGCCATGGGGTGTAGATTGGCCTGAGCAAATGTGGTGCCGGTGGAACGAAAGCCTTTGGAGGAGTTAGCGAAATTCCAATGTGTGCGGATCGGCAAAAAATGCAAAATAACCCTTTAACCGTACATTTGACAGATACGCCCGCACTGACTTTTTTGTAGATCTTATTGAGATACATGTGTGTGTCAATTTTTGTGTCATTTTGACAAAGCGTACAGGCGTGACAGTCAATAGTGTGAATTTTCACCTTAGGGGGCGCTATGGAGCCATTTTGCATTTTCTTGTTTGGGCGACTTCGGAATATCAAATTTTTCACCAGGCCCGGTCGTCCTGCCAAATTTCATGAGTTTTCGCCAGTGGGAAGTGGGCCATTTTCCAGTTCAAAGGGGAGGAAAAATAATAACTAGGGCCCCGGTGGGGCACTGTCGGGCCCGAGCCGCGTCGCGCCGCCCCCAGTGCGACCGCCTCCCCGTCCCGATCGAGTCACACTCAAGAACCAAAGATGGTGTGCGCACTTGTCTGTGGTCATTTCCCATTATAATGAATGGGAGGCGCAGTTTCTACCAAAACACTCGCTGCAGACAAACTTCATGTCCTATTTGAAAAAAGTCTGGACCATGAGTGAGGGCACAAACACAGCTATGATATATCGAAATGCCAGGTTGCTCCTCCTTACGGTGTTGCCTGGAGAGCGATGCGATTGAGCCATTGAGCGATGGGCAGGAAAAACTTGACTTTTTCTCCTGCCATAGGGGGGATGTGGATTCTTTTAAGAATGTGGATTTTTGGGTCATCTTTGGCGCCCCCTAGAACGTAAACCGTGGGGTGCAGCGTCATGATTTTTACAACTTTGAATGGCCATGGGGTGTAGATTGGCCTGAGCAAATTTGGTGTCAGTGGGACGAAAGCCTTAGGAGGAGTTAGCCAAATTCCAATGTGTGCGAATCTGCAAAAAATGCGAAATAACCCTTTAACCGTACATTTTACAGATACGTGGCCATTGACTTTTTCGAAGATCTTATTGAGATACATGTGTGTGTCAATTTTTGTGTCATTTTGCCAAAGCGTACAGGTGTTACACTCAACAATGTGTATTTTCACCTTAGGGGACAAGAAAAAATGGACTTTTTTCTCCTGCCATGGGGGGGCGCTCTTTTGGGGAGTAAAAATTCCTTCACAAATGTGTTGATGGCTGGACATTGCATCATCCTAGAAAACTTGGAGGCCAGTGAGGGCAAAAATAAAAAGTTATAAGACTTTTAAATATGTGGATCTTAGGGTTATCTTTGGCGCCCCCTAGAACCTAAACCGTGGGGTGCAGCGTCATGATTTGAATAACTTTTAATGGCCATGGGGTGTAGATTGGCCTGAGCAAATGTGGTGCCGGTGGAACGAAAGCCTTCGGAGGAGTTAGCGAAATTCCAATGTGTGCGGATCGGCAAAAAATGCGAAATAACCCTTTAACCGTACATTTGACAGATACGCCCGCACTGACTTTTTTGTAGATCTTATTGAGATACATGTGTGTGTCAATTTTTGTGTCATTTTGACAAAGCGTACCGGCGTGACAGTGAATAGTGTGAATTTTCACCTTAGGGGGCGCTATGGAGCCATTTTGCATTTTCTTGTTTGGGCGACTTCGGAATATCAAATTTTTCACCAGGCCCGGTCGTCCTGCCAAATTTCATGAGTTTTCGCCAGTGGGAAGTGGGCCATTTTCCAGTTCAAAGGGGAGGAAAAATAATAATAATAATAACAAAAGAAGGAAACTACAGGAACAAGAGGGCTCTCGCAGCTGCTTAGCAGCTACGCTCGGGCCCTAATAACACTAGGGCCCCGTTGGGGCACTGGCGGGCCCGAGCCGCGTTGCGCCGACCCCAGTGCGACCGCCTCCCCCTCCCGATCGCGTCACACTCAAGGTCCAAAGATGGTGTGCGCACTTGTCTGTGGTCATTTCCCATTATAATGAATGGGAGGCGCAGTTTCTACCAAAACACTCGCTGCAGACAAACTACATGTCCTATTTGAAAAAAGTCTGGACCATGAGTGAGGGCACAAACACAGCTAGGATATATCCAAACGGCAAGTTGCTCCTCGTTACGGTGTTGCAGGGAGAGCGATGCGATTGAGCCATTGAGTGATGGGCAGGAAAAACTTGACTGTTTCTCCTGCCATGGGGGATGGGGGATGGGGGATGGGGGATGGGGGGGGTGGATTCTTTTAAGAATGTGGATATTTGGGTCATCTTTGGCGCCCCCTAGAACGTAAACCGTGGGGTGCAGCGTCATGATTTTTACAACTTTGAATGGCCATGGGGTGTAGATTGGCCTGAGCAAATTTGCTGTCAGTGGGACGAAAGCCTTAGGAGGAGTTAGCCACATTCCAATGTGTGCTAATCGGCAAAAAATGCAAAATAGCCCTTTAACCGTACATTTTACAGATACGCGCGCATTGACTTTTTCGTAGATCTTATTGAGATACATGTGTGTGTCAAATTTTGTGTCAATATGACAAAGCATACAGGTATGACAGTCAACAATGTGTATTTTCACCTTATGGGACAAGAAAAAATGGACTTTTTTCTCCTGCCATGGGGGGGCGCTCTTTTGGGGAGTAAAAATTCCTTCACAAATGTGTTGATGGCTGGACATTGCATCATCCTAGAAAACTTGGAGGCCAGAGAGGACAAAAATAAAAAGTTATAAGACTTTTAAATATGTGGATTTTAGGGTTATCTTTGGCGCCCCCTAGAACCTAAACCGTGGGGTGCAGCGTCATGATTTGAATAACTTTTAATGGCCATGGGGTGTAGATTGGCCTGAGCAAATGTGGTGCCGGTGGAACGAAAGCCTTCGGAGGAGTTAGCGAAATTCCAATGTGTGCGGATCGGCAAAAAATGCGCAATAACCCTTTAACCGTACATTTGACAGATACGCCCGCACTGACTTTTTTGTAGATCTTATTGAGATACATGTGTGTGTCAATTTTTGTGTAATTTTGACAAAGCGTACAGGCGTGACAGTCAATAGTGTGAATTTTCACCTTATGGGACAAGAAAAAATGGACTTTTTTCTCCTGCCATGGGGGGGCGCTCTTTTGGGGAGTAAAAATTCCTTCACAAATGTGTTGATGGCTGGACATTGCATCATCCTAGAAAACTTGGAGGCCAGTGAGGGCAAAAATAAAAAGTTATAAGACTTTTAAATATGTGGATCTTAGGGTTATCTTTGGCGCCCCCTAGAACCTAAACCGTGGGGTGCAGCGTCATGATTTGAATAACTTTTAATGGCCATGGGGTGTAGATTGGCCTGAGCAAATGTGGTGCCGGTGAAAAGGAAGCCTTCGGAGGAGTTAGCGAAATTCCAATGTGTGCGGATCGGCAAAAAATGCGAAATAACCCTTTAACCGTACATTTGACAGATACGCCCGCACTGACTTTTTTGTAGATCTTATTGAGATACATGTGTGTGTCAATTTTTGTGTCATTTTGACAAAGCGTACCGGCGTGACAGTCAATAGTGTGAATTTTCACCTTAGGGGGCGCTATGGAGCCATTTTGCATTTTCTTGTTTGGGCGACTTCGGAATATCAAATTTTTCACCAGGCCCGGTCGTCCTGCCAAATTTCATGAGTTTTCGCCAGTGGGAAGTGGGCCATTTTCCAGTTCAAAGGGGAGGAAAAATAATAATAATAATAATAACAAAAGAAGGAAACTACAGGAACAAGAGGGCTCTCGCAGCTGCTTAGCAGCTACGCTCGGGCCCTAAAAAGAAGGAAACTACAGGAACAAGAGGGCTCTCGCAGCTGCTTAGCAGCTACGCTCGGGCCCTAAAAAGAAAGAAAGAAACAAAGACTAGGACCCCGTTGGGGCACTGGCGGGCCCGAGCCATGTCGCCCCCCCCCCCACGTGCTGCCTCCCCGTCCCATTTGTGTCCTCTGGCCATCGCCCTCTCTGGTAACGCCCATCACTGCAAAGTCCCTTTTCCTTCATCGGCGTTTGCTGTTCTTCCTGCCAGTGCGTGTTGCTTTCACTTACACTTGCCACAGCCAGCCTCGTGAGTGCCTAGCCTATTCGATATCACTGTCACCTACACAGGACAGTCATTACCTTTCTATTAATACTTTGTGTTTTAATTTCACATTAATTTCCATATTGTATAAACGACTGGAAAAAACTTGAGCCCCTGCCCCTGTATAATCATGTGCATGTCTCTGTTCTAGCTCCAAGGTGAATCTTCACTGCTCATGTTCTCCTCAGAAGCACTCACCTCACTCCCCTCAGGTTACTGTACACATGCACCAACTGCCTGCTTCAGGTTTGGATGGAGCTTCATGGTTGTCTTTTGGAGAAATGACCAGTCAAGTTGTGTTTGAAATTTGATTTTTTTCAGGGGCAAAAGGAGCCTCTGCATTCTTGTCAAATATGTAAATAGCATGTTTTTGCAGGTGCTAAAAACCAGACTCTGAGTGTGTGTGTGTGTGTGTGTGTGTGCGTGTGTGTGTGTCTGTGTGTGCGTTCAAGTCACATGACATATTTAACCGGATGTAGCTGCAAGACGGAGCCTCGTTGACTCTCCGTTTCAACTTATCTCAAAAGTGAGGACCTCAACCTATATACCAGTTTTTAAATTGTGTTGATAGGCCAAATAAAACCAGAGTTATGATAAATTATGTCCGCGATACTTTTTTTCTGCTTATTTTGATCACGTTCGGCGCTCGATCGCGCTGTATGAGACAGGAAAACATAGCATGCAGACATTAGCGACAGGTCTTACAGGCGGAAAAGGCTTGCCAAAAGAAAAAAAAAACACACCACAACATCTCTCCTATTGGTGGAAAACTTCACCACAACAACCAATCCAAAATTATATGGTGACTGATTGACAAGGGGCGGGCGCTTACGTTCTTCCTGCAACATGAGAAGGGAGGGAGGGACTCTCAGCAGGGATGCAGTCTGGGACACGTAGTTGCAAACCTAGCGACTTTGTTGTTAGATTCAATGACTTTTCAGACCCCCTAACGACTTTTTTTTAGAAAGAAAGGGACTTTTATCGACTTCTTCTGGAGTTTAGAGACTCTGACATGAAGCAGGCTTTCCTTACTGAGGAGTTAGCAACGCTGCTAAGGGTGCAGAGCCACACATGCGCTCAGAGCTCTGCATGGGAGACTGAAGCTGACAGAGCTGCAGCAGTTAGCAGGTTTCACCCTCAGAGACCACCAGGGGTTCATGTTGAGGCATTTTAATTTTTTTTTTTTTTTGTGCCATAGACACTGTCAGCACAATCTGCAGTTACACTAACAAAAATGCTGCAAAAAACAAAGAATTATGGAAAAATTACACATGGACTGACATAGAGGAGGATCTACACAAGTTTTTTACATCATGTTTTACATCATGCATCATTTACATCATGTTTTTTTGTAGTGGCATAAATAAAAAGTGACATTTGTGAGACTATACAGTGTTTTGTAAATAATTTTACAAAGAATGCCTGGGCCATTGCCTGCATTTTGATGTAAATAGAGGTAAATCACTATGTTCTTTGTTAAAAATTTGCATATGTTTTGAAGTTTACAATTTTTATTTGAAGTTTAAGTTTTAAAAACAGTTCATCACACATATTTGTGGTTTTCACAGTAAAAATGTTACTTTTTTCCACTCGGATTTTATGTTTTGTGTGTGAATTTGGGTCCATTGTGTAAATTCAGTATGTCAACATGATAAAATAACTGTAAATTCGCACAGGTGAGGTTGTGCTGAAAAAAATGATACCAGGCAAGGCACGTGATTGTCAAATTTTGTGTCAATATGACAAAGCGTATAGGCGTGAATCTCAACAATATGTATTTTCATCTTAGGGGACAAGAAAAAATGGACTTTTTTCTCCTGCCATGGGGGGCGCTCTTTTGGGGAGTAAAAATTCCTTCACAAATGTGTTGATGGCTGGACATTGCATCATCCTAGAAAACTTGGAGGCCAGTGAGGACAAAAATAAAAAGTTATAAGACTTTTAAATATGTGGATTTTAGGGTTATCTTTGGCGCCCCCTAGAACCTAAACCGTGGGGTGCAGCGTCATGATTTGAATAACTTTTAATGGCCATGGGGTGTAGATTGGCCTGAGCAAATGTGGTGCCGGTGGAACGAAAGCCTTCGGAGGAGTTAGCGAAATTCCAATGTGTGCGAATCGGCAAAAAATGCGGAATAACCCTTTAACCGTACATTTGACAGATACGCGCGCATTGACTTTTTCGTAGATCTTATTGAGATACATGTGTGTGTCAATTTTTGTCATTTTGCCAAAGCGTACAGGTGTTACACTCAACAATGTGTATTTTCACCTTAGGGGACAAGAAAAAATGGACTTTTTTCTCCTGCCATGGGGGGGCGCTCTTTTGGGGAGTAAAAATTCCTTCACAAATGTGTTGATGGCTGGACATTGCATCATCCTAGAAAACTTGGAGGCCAGTGAGGGCAAAAATAAAAAGTTATAAGACTTTTAAATATGTGGATCTTAGGGTTATCTTTGGCGCCCCCTAGAACCTAAACCGTGGGGTGCAGCGTCATGATTTGAATAACTTTTAATGGCCATGGGGTGTAGATTGGCCTGAGCAAATGTGGTGCCGGTGGAACGAAAGCCTTCGGGGGAGTTAGCGAAATTCCAATGTGTGCGGATCGGCAAAAAATGCGAAATAACCCTTTAACCGTACATTTGACAGATACGCCCACACTGACTTTTTTGTAGATCTTATTGAGATACATGTGTGTGTCAATTTTTGTGTCATTTTGACAAAGCGTACACGTGTGACAGTCAATAGTGTGAATTTTCACCTTAGGGGGCGCTATGGAGCCATTTTGCATTTTCTTGTTTGGGCGACTTCGGAATATCAAATTTTTCACCAGGCCCGGTCGTCCTGCCAAATTTCATGAGTTTTCACCAGTGGGAAGTGGGCCATTTTCCAGTTCAAAGGGGAGGAAAAATAATAACTAGGGCCCCGTTGGGGCACTGGCGGGCCCGAGCCGTGTCACGCCGCCCCCAGCGCGACCGCCTCCCCCACCCGATCGCGTCACACTCAAGGTCCAAAGATGGTGTGCGCACTTGTTTGTGGTCATTTACCATTATAATGAACGGGAGGCGCAGTTTCTACCAAAACGCTCGCTGCAGAAAAACTCCATGTCCTATTTGAAAAAAGTCTGGACCATGAGTGAGGGCACAAACACAGCTAAGATATATCCAAATGGCAAGTTGCTCCTCCTTTCGCTTTTGCCGAGAGAGCAGTGCGTTTGAGCCATTGAATGATGAACAGGAAAAACTTGACTTTATTCTCCTGCCATGGGGGGCGCTCTTTTAAAGAGAAAAAACTCCTTCACAAATGTGTTGATGGCTGGACATTGCATCATCCTAGAAAACATGGAGGCCAGTGAGGACAAAAATAAAAAGTTATAAGACTTTTAAATATGTGGATTTTAGGGTTATATTTGGCGCCCCCTAGAACCTAAACCGTGGGGTGCAGCGTCATGATTTGAATAACTTTTAATGGCCATGGGGTGTAGATTGGCCTGAGCAAATGTGGTGCCGGTGGAACGAAAGCCTTCGGAGGAATTAGCGAAATTCCAATGTGTGCGAATCTGCAAAAAATGCGAAATAACCCTTTAACTGTACATTTTACAGATACGTGGCCATTGACTTTTTCGAAGATCTTATTGAAATACACGTGTATTTAAAATTTTGTGTCAATACGACAAAACATACAGGCGTAGCACTCAACAATGTGTATTTTCACCTTAGTGGACAAGAAAAAATTGACTTTTTTCTCCTGCCATGGGGGGGCGCTCTTTTGCCGAGTAAAAATTCCTTCACAAATGTGTTGATGGCTGGACATTGCATCATCCTAGAAAACTTGGAGGCCAGTGGGGACAAAAATAAAAAGTTATAAGACTTTTAAATATGTGGATTTTAGGGTTATCTTTGGCGCCCCCTAGAACGTAAACCGTGGGGTGCAGCGTCATGATTTGAATAACTTTTAATGGCCATGGGGTGTAGATTGGCCTGAGCAAATGTGGTGCCGGTGGAACGAAAGCCTTCGGAGGAGTTAGCGAAATTCCAATGTGTGCGAATCGGCAAAAAATGCGGAATAACCCTTTAACCGTACATTTGACAGATACGCGCGCATTGACTTTTTCGTAGATCTTATTGAGATACATGTGTGTGTCAATTTTTGTGTCATTTTGCCAAAGCGTACAGGTGTTACACTCAACAATGTGTATTTTCACCTTAGGGGACAAGAAAAAATGGACTTTTTTCTCCTGCCATGGGGGGGCGCTCTTTTGGGGAGTAAAAATTCCTTCACAAATGTGTTGATGGCTGGACATTGCATCATCCTAGAAAACTTGGAGGCCAGTGAGGGCAAAAATAAAAAGTTATAAGACTTTTAAATATGTGGATCTTAGGGTTATCTTTGGCGCCCCCTAGAACCTAAACCGTGGGGTGCAGCGTCATGATTTGAATAACTTTTAATGGCCATGGGGTGTAGATTGGCCTGAGCAAATGTGGTGCCGGTGGAACGAAAGCCTTCGGAGGAGTTAGCGAAATTCCAATGTGTGCGGATCGGCAAAAAATGCGAAATAACCCTTTAACCGTACATTTGACAGATACGCCCGCACTGACTTTTTTGTAGATCTTATTGAGATACATGTGTGTGTCAATTTTTGTGTCATTTTGACAAAGCGTACAGGCGTGACAGTGAATAGTGTGAATTTTCACCTTAGGGGGCGCTATGGAGCCATTTTGCATTTTCTTGTTTGGGCGACTTCGGAATATCAAATTTTTCACCAGGCCCGGTCGTCCTGCCAAATTTCATGAGTTTTCGCCAGTGGGAAGTGGGCCATTTTCCAGTTCAAAGGGGAGGAAAAATAATAACTAGGGCCCCGTTGGGGCACTGGCGGGCCCGAGCTGTGTCGCGCCCCCCCCCCCCCCCCACCAATGCGCTGCCTCCCCGTCCCATTCGCGTCCTCTGGCCATCGTCCTCTCTGGTAACGCCCATCACTGCAAAGACCCTTTTCCTTCATCGGCGTTTGCTGCTCTTCCTGCCAGTGCGTGTTGCTTTCACTTACACTTGCCACAGCCAGCCTCGTGAGTGCCTAGCCTATTGGATATCACTGTCACCTACACAGGACAGTCATTACCTTTCTATTAATACTTTGTTTTTTAATTTCACATTAATTTCCATATTGTATAAACGACTGGAAAAAACTTGAGCCCCTGCCCCTGTATAATCATGTGCACGTCCCTGTTCTCGCTCCAAGGTGAATCTTCACTGCTCATGTTCTCCTCAGAAGCACTCACCTCACTCCCCTCAGGTAACTGTACACATGCACCAACTGCCTGCTTCAGGTTTGGATGGAGCTTCATGGTTGTCTTTTGGAGAAATGACCAGTCAAGTTGTGTTTGAAATTTGATTTTTTTCAGGGGCAAAAGGAGCCTCTGCATTGTTGTCAAATATGTAAATAGCATGTTTTTGCAGGTGCTAAAAAACAGACTCTGAGTGTGTGTGTGTGTGTGTGTGTGTGTGTGTGTGTGTGTGTGTGTGCGTGTGTGTGTGTGTCTGTGTTTGTGTGTGTCTGTGTGTGTGTATCCTGCAGTACTCTGTACTCCTGCAGTGGCCAAAACGACTTTTAAGAATGTGGATATTTGGGTCATCTTTGGCGCCCCCTAGAACGTAAACCATGGGGTGCAGCGGCATGATTTTTACAACTTTGAATGGCCATGGGATGTAGATCGGCTTGAGCAAATTTGGTGTCGGTGGGAAGAAAGCCTTAGGAGGAGTTAGCCACATTCCAATGTGTGCGAATCTGCAAAAAATGCGAAATAGCCCTTTAACCGTACATTTTACAGATACGTGCCCATTGACTTTTTCGTAGATCTTATTGAGATACACGTGATTGTCAAATTTTGGGTCAATATGACAAAGCGTATAGGCGTGACACTCAACAATGTGTATTTTCACCTTAGGGGACAAGAAAAAATTGACTTTTTTCTCCTGCCATGTGGGGGCGCTCTTTTGGGGAGTAAAAATTCCTTCACAAATGTGTTGATGGCTGGACATTGCATCATCCTAGAGAACTTGGAGGCCAGTGAGGACAAAAATAAAAAGTTATAAGACTTTTAAGACTGTGGATTTTTGGGTTATCTTTGGCGCCCCCTAGAACGTAAACTGTGGGGTGCAGTGTCATGATTTGTACAACTTTTAATGGCCATGGGGTGTAGATTGGCCTGAGCAAATGTGGTGCCGGTGGAACGAATGCCTTCGGAGGAGTTAGCGAAATTCCAATGTGTGCAGATCGGCAAAAAATGCGAAATAACCCTCTAACTGTACATTTCACAGATGCGCCCGCGCTGACTTTTTCGTAGAACGTATTGAGATACACGTGTGTGTCAATTTTTGTGTCAATATGACAAAGCGTACAGGCGTGACAGTCAATAGTGTGAATTTTCGCCTTAGGGGGCGCTATGGAGCCATTTTGCATTTTATTGTTTGGGCGACTTCAGAATATCGAATTTTTCACCAGGCCCGGTCGTCCTGCCAAATTTCATGAGTTTTCGCCAGTGGGAAGTGGGCCATTTTCCAGTTTAAAGCGGAGGAAAAATAATAATAATAATAACAAACTAGGGCCCCGGTGGGGCACTGTCGGGCCCGAGCCGCGTCGCGCCGCCCCCAGCGCGACCGCCTCCCCCTCCCGATTGCATCACACTCAAGGTCCAAAGATGGTGTGCGCACTTGTCTGTGGTCATTTCCCATTATAATGAATGGGAGGCGCAGTTTCTACCAAAACGGCCGCTGCAGACAAACTACATGTCCTATTTGAAAAAAGTCTGGACCATGAGTGAGGGCACAAACACAGCTAGGATATATCCAAATGGCAAGTTGCTCCTCCTTACGGTGTTGCCGGGAGAGCGATGCGATTGAGCCATTGAGCGATGGGCAGGGTTAACTGGACTTTTTCTCCTGCCTTGGGGGGGGGGGGGATGTGGATTCTTTTAAGAATGTGGATATTTGGGTCATCTTTGGCGCCCCCTAGAACGTAAACCATGGGGTGCAGCGGCATGATTTTTACAACTTTGAATGGCCATGGGATGTAGATCGGCTTGAGCAAATTTGGTGTCGGTGGGAAGAAAGCCTTAGGAGGAGTTAGCCACATTCCAATGTGTGCGAATCGGCAAAAAATGCGAAATAGCCCTTTAACCGTACATTTTACAGATACGTGCCCATTGACTTTTTCGTAGATCTTATTGAGATACACGTGTGTGTCAAATTTTGTGTCATTTTGACAAAGCGTATAGGCGTGACAGTCAACAATGTGTTTTTTCACCTTAGGGGACAAGAAAAAATTGACTTTTTTCTCCTGCCATGGGGGGCGCCCTTTTCGGGAGTAAAAATTCCTTTACAAATGTGTTGATGGCTGGACATTGCATCATCCTAGAAAACTTGGAGGCCAGTGAGGACAAAAATAAAAAGTTATAAGACTATTAAGAATGTGGATTTTTGGGTTATCTTTGGCGCCCCCTAGAACGTAAACCGTGGAGTGCAGCGTCATGATTTGTACAACTTTTAATGGCCATGGGGTGTAGATTGGCCTGAGCAAATTTGGTGGCGGTGGAACTAAAGCCTTCGGAGGAGTTAGCGAAATTCCAATGTGTGCGGATCGGGAAAAAATGCGAAATAACCCTCTAACCGTACATTTCACAGATGCGCCCGCACTGACTTTTTCGTAGACCGTATTGAGATACACGTGTGTGTCAATTTTTGTGTCAAAATGACAAAGCGTACAGGCGTGACAGTCAATAGTGTGAATTTTCGCCTTAGGGGGCGCTATGGAGCCATTTTGCATTTTATTGTTTGGGCGACTTCAGAATATCGAATTTTTCACCAGGCCCGGTCGTCCTGCCAAATTTCCTGAGTTTTCGCCAGTGGGAAGTGGGCCATTTTCCCCTTCAAAGGGGAGGAAAAATAAGAAGAAAGAAAGAAAGAAAGAAAGAAAGAAGAAAGAAAAACCTATACAGGAATAATAGGGCTCTACGCCCGGCTGCTCTGCAGCTGGCTCGGGCCCTAATAAGAAGAAGAAGAAGAAGACTAGGGCCCCGTTGGGGCACTGGTGGGCCCGAGCTGTGTCGCGCCCCCCCCCCCCCCACCAATGCGCTTCCTCCCCGTCCCATTCGCGTCCTCTGGCCATCGTCCTCTCTGGTAACGCCCATCACTGCAAAGACCCTTTTCCTTCATCGGCGTTTGCTGCTCTTCCTGCCAGTGCGTGTTGCTTTCACTTACACTTGCCACAGCCAGCCTCGTGAGTGCCTAGCCTATTGGATATCACTGTCACCTACACAGGACAGTCATTACCTTTCTATTAATACTTTGTTTTTTAATTTCACATTAATTTCCATATTGTATAAACGACTGGAAAAAACTTGAGCCCCTGCCCCTGTATAATCATGTGCACGTCCCTGTTCTCGCTCCAAGGTGAATCTTCACTGCTCATGTTCTCCTCAGAAGCACTCACCTCACTCCCCTCAGGTAACTGTACACATGCACCAACTGCCTGCTTCAGGTTTGGATGGAGCTTCATGGTTGTCTTTTGGAGAAATGACCAGTCAAGTTGTGTTTGAAATTTGATTTTTTTCAGGGGCAAAAGGAGCCTCTGCATTGTTGTCAAATATGTAAATAGCATGTTTTTGCAGGTGCTAAAAAACAGACTCTGAGTGTGTGTGTGTGTGTGTGTGTGTGTGTGTGTGTGTGTGTGTGTGTGTGTGTGTGTGTGTGTGTGTGTGTCTGTGTTTGTGTGTGTCTGTGTGTGTGTATCCTGCAGTACTCTGTACTCCTGCAGTGGCCAAAACGACTTTTAAGAATGTGGATATTTGGGTCATCTTTGGCGCCCCCTAGAACGTAAACCATGGGGTGCAGCGGCATGATTTTTACAACTTTGAATGGCCATGGGATGTAGATCGGCTTGAGCAAATTTGGTGTCGGTGGGAAGAAAGCCTTAGGAGGAGTTAGCCACATTCCAATGTGTGCGAATCTGCAAAAAATGCGAAATAGCCCTTTAACCATACATTTTACAGATACGTGCCCATTGACTTTTTCGTAGATCTTATTGAGATACACGTGATTGTCAAATTTTGGGTCAATATGACAAAGCGTATAGGCGTGACACTCAACAATGTGTATTTTCACCTTAGGGGACAAGAAAAAATGGACTTTTTTCTCCTGCCATGTGGGGGCGCTCTTTTGGGGAGTAAAAATTCCTTCACAAATGTGTTGATGGCTGGACATTGCATCATCCTAGAAAACTTGGAGGCCAGTGAGGACAAAAATAAAAAGTTATAAGACTTTTAAATATGTGGATTTTTGGGTTATCTTTGGCGCCCCCTAGAACGTAAACTGTGGGGTGCAGCGTAATGATTTGTACAACTTTTAATGGCCATGGGGTGTAGATTGGCCTGAGCAAATGTGGTGCCGGTGGAACGAATGCCTTCGGAGGAGTTAGCGAAATTCCAATGTGTGCAGATCGGCAAAAAATGCGAAATAACCCTCTAACTGTACATTTCACAGATGCGCCCGCGCTGACTTTTTCGTAGAACGTATTGAGATACACGTGTGTGTCAATTTTTGTGTCAATATGACAAAGCGTACAGGCGTGACAGTCAATAGTGTGAATTTTCGCCTTAGGGGGCGCTATGGAGCCATTTTGCATTTTATTGTTTGGGCGACTTCAGAATATCGAATTTTTCACCAGGCCCGGTCGTCCTGCCAAATTTCATGAGTTTTCGCCAGTGGGAAGTCGGCCATTTTCCAGTTTAAAGCGGAGGAAAAATAATAATAATAACAAACTAGGGCCCCGTTGGGGCACTGGCGGGCCCGAGCCGTGTCGCGCCGCCCCCAGCGCGACCGCCTACCCCTCTTGATCGCGTCACACTCAAGGTCCAAAGATGGTGTGCGCACTTGTCTGTGGTCATTTACCATTATAATGAATGGGAGGCGCAGTTTCTACCAAAACGCTCGCTGCAGACAAACTCCATGTCCTTTTTGAAAAAAGTCTGGACCATGAGTGAGGGCACAAACACAGCTAGTATATATCCAAATGGCAAGTTGCTCCTCCTTTCGGTTTTGCCGAGAGAGCGATGCTTTTGAGCCATTGAGCGATGGGCAGGAAAAACTTGACTTTTTCTCCTGCCATGGGGGGGCGCTCTTTTGGGGAGAAAAAATTCCTTCACAAATGTGTTGATGGCTGGACATTGCATCATCCTAGAAAACTTGGAGGCCAGTGAGGACAAAAATAAAAAGTTATAAGACTTTTAAAAATGTGGATATTTGGGTCCTCTTTGGCACCCCCTAGAACGTAAACCGTGGGGTGCAGCGTCATGATTTGTACAACTTTGAATGGCCATGGGGTGTAGATTGACCTGAGCAAATTTGAAGCCGATGGGACAAAAGCTTTAGGAGGAGTTAGCCACATTCCAATGTGTGCGAATCGGCAAAAAATGCGAAATAGCCCTTTAACCGTACATTGAACAGATACGCTCGCATTGACTTTTTCGTAGATCTTATTGAGATACATGTGTGTGTCAAATTTTGTGTCATTTTGACAAAGCGTAAAGGCGTGACAGTCAACAATGTGTATTTTCGCCTTAGGAGACAAGAAAAAATGGACTTTTTTCTCCTGCCATGGGGGGCGCTCTTTTGGCGAGTAAAAATTCCTTCACAAATGTGTTGATGGCTGGACATTGCATCATCCTAGAGAACTTGGAGGCCAGTGAGGACAAAAATAAAAAGTTATAAGACTTTTAAGACTGTGGATTTTTGGGTTATCTTTGGCGCCCCCTAGAACGTAAACCGTGGGGTGCAGCGTCATGATTTGTACAACTTTTAATGGCCATGGGGTGTAGATTGGCCTGAGCAAATGTGGTGCCGTTGGAACGAAAGCCTTCGGAGGAGTTAGCGAAATTCCAATGTGTGCGGATCGGCAAAAAATGCGAAATAACCCTTTAACCGTACATTTGACAGATACGCCCGCACTGACTTTTTTGTAGATCTTATTGAGATACATGTGTGTGTCAAATTTTGTGTCATTTTGACAAAGCGTAAAGGCGTGACAGTCAACGATGTGTATTTTCGCCTTAGGAGACAAGAAAAAATTGACATTTTTCTCCTGCCATGGGGGGGCGCTCTTTTGGCGAGTAAAAATTCCTTCACAAATGTGTTGATGGCTGGACATTGCATCATCCTAGAGAACTTGGAGGCCAGTGAGGACAAAAATAAAAAGTTATAAGACTTTTAAGACTGTGGATTTTTGGGTTATCTTTGGCGCCCCCTAGAACGTAAACCGTGGGGTGCAGCGTCATGATTTGTACAACTTTTATTGGCCATGGGGTGTAGATTGGCCTGAGCAAATGTGGTGCCGGTGGAACGAAAACCTTCGGAGGAGTTAGCGAAATTCCAATGTATGCGGATCGGCAAAAAATGCGAAATAAACCTTTAACCGTACATTTGACAGATACGCCCGCACTGACTTTTTTGTAGATCTTATTGAGATACACGTGTGTGTCAAATTTTGTGTCATTTTGACAAAGCGTACAGGCGTGACACTCAATCATGTGAATTTTTCACCTTAGGGGGCGCTATGGAGCCATTTTGCATTTTATTGTTTGGGCGACTTCAGAATATCGAATTTTTCACCAGGCCCGGTCGTCCTGCCAAATTTCATGACTTTTCACCAGTGGGAAGTGGGCCATTTTCCAGTTCAAAGGGGCAGAAAAATAATAAGAAGAAGAAGAAGAAGAAAGAAGAATCCATCAGGAATAATAGGGCTCTCGCAGCTGCTTAGCAGCTACGCTCGGGCCCTAATAATAACAAAAGAAGGAAACTACAGGAACAAGAGGGCTCTCGCAGCTGCTTAGCAGCTACGCTCGGGCCCTAATAATAATAATAACACTAGGGCCCCGTTGGGGCACTGGCGGGCCCGAGCCGTGTCGCGCCGCCCCCAGCGCGACCGCCTACCCCTCCCGATCGCGTCACACTCAAGGTCCAAAGATGGTGTGCGCACTTGTCTGTGGTCATTTACCATTATAATGAATGGGAGGCGCAGTTTCTACCAAAACGCTCGCTGCAGACAAACTCCATGTCCTTTTTGAAAAAAGTCTGGACCATGAGTGAGGGCACAAACACAGCTAGTATATATCCAAATGGCAAGTTGCTCCTCCTTTCGGTTTTGCCGAGAGAGCGATGCGTTTGAGCCATTGAGCGATGGGCAGGAAAAACTTGACTTTTTCTCCTGCCATGGGGGGCGCTCTTTTGGGGAGAAAAAATTCCTTCACAAATGTGTTGATGGCTGGACATTGCATCATCCTAGAAAACTTGGAGGCCAGTGAGGACAAAAATAAAAAGTTATAAGACTTTTAAAAATGTGGATATTTGGGTCCTCTTTGGCGCCCCCTAGAACGTAAACTGTGGGGTGCAGCGTCATGATTTGTACAACTTTGAATGGCCATGGGGTGTAGATTGACCTGAGCAAATTTGAAGCCGATGGGACAAAAGATTTAGGAGGAGTTAGCCACATTCCAATGTGTGCGAATCGGCAAAAAATGCGAAATAGCCCTTTAACCGTACATTGAACAGATACGCACGCACTGACTTTTTCGTAGATCTTATTGAGATACATGTGTGTGTCAACTTTTGTGTCAATATGACAAAGCGTAAAGGCGTGACAGTCAATAGTGTGAATTTTCGCCTTAGGAGACAAGAAAAAATGGACTTTTTTCTCCTGCCATGGGGGGGCGCTCTTTTGGCGAGTAAAAATTCCTTCACAAATGTGTTGATGGCTGGACATTGCATCATCCTAGAGAACTTGGAGGCCAGTGAGGACAAAAATAAAAAGTTATAAGACTTTTAAAAATGTGGATATTTGGGTCCTCTTTGGCGCCCCCTAGAACGTAAACTGTGGGGTGCAGCGTCATGATTTGTACAACTTTGAATGGCCATGGGGTGTAGATTGACCTGAGCAAATTTGAAGCCGATGGGACAAAAGATTTAGGAGGAGTTAGCCACATTCCAATGTGTGCGGATCGGCAAAAAATGCGAAATAGCCCTTTAACCGTACATTTGACAGATACGCCCGCACTGACTTTTTTGTAGATCTTATTGAGATACATGTGTGTGTCAATTTTTGTGTCAATATGACAAAGCGTAAAGGCGTGACAGTCAATAGTGTGAATTTTCGCCTTAGGAGACAAGAAAAAATGGACTTTTTTCTCCTGCCATGGGGGGGCGCTCTTTTGGCGAGTAAAAATTCCTTCACAAATGTGTTGATGGCTGGACATTGCATCATCCTAGAGAACTTGGAGGCCAGTGAGGACAAAAATAAAAAGTTATAAGACTTTTAAGACTGTGGATTTTTGGGTTATCTTTGGCGCCCCCTAGAACGTAAACCGTGGGGTGCAGCGTCATGATTTGTACAACTTTTAATGGCCATGGGGTGTAGATTGGCCTGAGCAAATGTGGTGCCGGTGGAACGAAAGCTTTAGGAGGAGTTAGCCACATTCCAATGTGTGCGAATCGACCAAAAATGCGAAATAACCCTTTAACCGTACATTTTACAGATACGCGCCCATTGACTATTTCGTAGATCTTATTGAGAAACACGTGATTGTCAAAGTTTGTTTCAATATGACAAAGCGTACAGGCGTGACACTCAATAATGTGAATTTTCACCTTAGGGGGAAGAAAAACTGGACTTTTTTCTCCTGCCATGGGGGGGCGCTCTTTTGGGGAGTAAAAATTCCTTCACAAATGTGTTGATGGCTAGACATTGCATCATCCTAGAAAACTTGGAGGCCAGTGAGGACAAAAATAAAAAGTTATAAGACTTTTAAGAATGTGGATTTCTGGGTTATCTTTGGCGCCCCCTAGAACGTAAACCGTGGGATGCAGCGTCATGCTTTGTACAACTTTTAATGGCCATGGGGTGTAGATTGGCCTGAGCAAATTTGGTGCCGGTGGAACGAAAGCCTTCGGAGGAGTTAGCGAAATTCCAATGTGTGCGGATCGGCAAAAAATGCGAAATAGCCCTTTAACCGTACATTTGACAGATACGCCCGCACTGACTTTTTTGTAGATCTTATTGAGATACACGTGTGTGTCAAATTTTGTGTCATTTTGACAAAGCGTACAGGCGTGACACTCAATCATGTGAATTTTTCACCTTAGGGGGCGCTATGGAGCCATTTTGCATTTGATTTTTTAGGCGACTTCAGAATATCGAATTTTTCACCAGGCCCGGTCGTCCTGCCAAATTTCATGACTTTTCACCAGTGGGAAGTGGGCCATTTTCCAGTTCAAAGGGGCAGAAAAATAATAAGAAGAAGAAGAAGAAAGAAGAATCCATCAGGAATAATAGGGCTCTCGCAGCTGCTTAGCAGCTACGCTCGGGCCCTAAAGAAGAATCCATCAGGAACAAGAGGGCTCTCGCAGCTGCTTAGCAGCTACGCTCGGGCCCTAAAGAAGAATCCATCAGGAACAAGAGGGCTCTCGCAGCTGCTTAGCAGCTACGCTCGGGCCCTAATAACAAAAGAAGGAAACTACAGGAACAAGAGGGCTCTCGCAGCTGCTTAGCAGCTACGCTCGGGCCCTAACTAGGACCCCGTTGGGGCACTGGCGGGCCCGAGCCGTGTCGCGTCCCCCCCCCCCCAACGTGCTGCCTCCCCGTCCCATTTGTGTCCTCTGGCCATCGCCCTCTCTGGTAACGCCCATCACTGCAAAGACCCTTTTCCTTCATCGGCGTTTGCTGTTCTTCCTGCCAGTGCGTGTTGCTTTCACTTACACTTGCCACAGCCAGCCTCGTGAGTGCCTAGCCTATTGGATATCACTGTCACCTACACAGGACAGTCATTACCTTTCTATTAATACTTTGTGTTTTAATTTCACATTAATTTCCATATTGTATAAACGACTGGAAAAAACTTGAGCCCCTGCCCCTGTATAATCATGTGCATGTCTCTGTTCTAGCTCCAAGGTGAATCTTCACTGCTCATGTTCTTCTCAGAAGCACTCACCTCACTCCCCTCAGGTTACTGTACACATGCACCAACTGCCTGCTTCAGGTTTGGATGGAGCTTCATGGTTGTCTTTTGGAGAAATGACCAGTCAAGTTGTGTTTGAAATTTGATTTTTTTCAGGGGCAAAAGGAGCCTCTGCATTCTTGTCAAATATGTAAATAGCATGTTTTTGCAGGTGCTAAAAACCAGACTCTGAGTGTGTGTGTGTGTGTGTGTGTGTGTGCGTGTGTGTGTGTCTGTGTGTGCGTTCAAGTCACATTACATATTTAACCGGATGTAGCAGCAAGACGGAGCCTCGTTGACTCTCCGTTTCAACTTATCTCAAAAGTGAGGACCTCAAACTATACACCAGTTTTCAAATTGTGTTGATAGGCCAAATAAAACCAGAGTTATGATAAATTATGTCCGCGATACTTTTTTTCTGCTTATTTTGATCACGTTCGGCGCTCGATCGCGCTGTATGAGACAGGAAAACATAGCATGCAGACATTAGCGACAGGTCTTACAGGCGGAAAAGGCTTGCCAAAAAAAAAAAAACACACCACAACATCTCTCCTATTGGTGGAAAACTTCACCACAACAACCAATCCAAAATTATATGGTGACTGATTGACAAGGGGGGCGCTTACGTTCTTCCTGCAACATGAGAAGGGAGGGAGGAACTCTCAGCAGGGATGCAGTCTGGGACACGTAGTTGCAAACCTAGCGACTTTGTTGTTAGATTCAATGACTTTTCAGACCCCCTAACGACTTTTTTTTAGAAAGAAAGGGACTTTTATCGACTTCTTCTGGAGTTTAGAGACTCTGACATGAAGCAGGCTTTCCTTACTGAGGAGTTAGCAACGCTGCTAAGGGTGCAGAGCCACACATGCGCTCCGAGCTCTGCATGGGATACTAAAGCTGACAGAGCTGCAGCAGTTAGCTGGTTTCACCCTCAGAGACCACCAGGGGTTCATGTTGAGGCATTTTCAGTTTTTTTTTTTTTTTGCCATAGACACTGTCAGCACAGTCTGCAGTTACACTAACAAAAATGCTGCAAAAAACAAAGAATTATGGAAAGATTACACATGGACTGACATAGAGGAGGATCTACACAAGTTTTTTACATCATGTTTTACATCATGCATCATTTACATCATGTTTTTTTGTAGTGGCATAAATAAAAAGTGACATTTGTGAGACTATACAGTGTTTTGTAAATAATTTTACAAAGAACGCCTGGGCCATTGCCTGCATTTTGATGTAAATAGAGGTAAATTACTATGTTCTTTGTTAAAAATTTGCATATGTTTTGAAGTTTACAATTTTTATTTGAAGTTTAAGTTTTAAAAACAGTTCATCACATATATTTGTGGTTTAATTTCACATTAATTTCCATATTGTATAAATGACTGGAAAAAACTTGAGCCCCTGCCCCTGTATAATCATGTGCACGTCCCTGTTCTAGCTCCAAGGTGAATCTTCACTGCTCATGTTCTCCTCAGAAATAGTCACCTCACTCCCCTCAGGTTACTGTACACATGCACCAACTATCTGCTTCAGGTTTGGATGGAGCTTCATGGTTGTCTTTTGGAGAAATGAACAGTCAAGTTGTGTTTGAAATTTGATTTTT